ACAATCCCCATTCAGGCCTTTTTTCTAGTTATAAACAGTTCAGGACCAGATGTGACCATTTTAATTTTAATTTTTATCAAAATGTAATTTTATTTTAATTTGCTTTCAGAGTGCTAAGTATATACAATTACTAGAACACAGAAAAGAAAATTTAATGTAGATCTCCAATAATACATTTTTGTAGCATTTTTAGTTTTGGCCTGGATTTCTCAATGCAGAACTTTGTAACAAAAACCCTATTTTACTGCATTTTTACCTTGGCCATTTATTTTATAATATCCCTCTGTTACTTTGATTGAGAGAAACTTCTAGACAAAACAATACACAATAAAGAGTAAATTCTTATCATGGCTGTTTGGTTTTAAGTGGAAACTGTCTCTTTAAATTTTGAGGAGATCTGTACGTATGCATAGTAGAACCCTCTGGGGGGCAGGGGGTTTGCATCCCCTCTAGTCACCAGCATGGAGGTGCACAGACATCAAGAGACCAATGAACAGATATGAATAAAAAAAGAATGTCCACACCTTTATCTCCACAGTTTTGTCAGGCGTACATGTCTGCTCTGATCCTTCCCCTGCTTGGTCTCACCCAAGATGGTGGCTCTGGGAGCAGCTGAGCATCTTGAATTAGAAAGCAATGTATTTCTTGCTTTTGCTACAAATTCCCCTAGCTGCAAGACTTCGAACCTTCTAAATATTCCTTTATATGTGGTTCAGAGTTCTGGGAACATCCCCTGAGCCTGCTTGGTCTGGTATTCTGTATTGTTGCTGATGGAGATCCTCACCGCACTTCTACCTGATCCACCATCTTCTTTGTTCTCTATCACACTGTTTGACTTTAAAATAAGGTTACTTAGTATAATTCATCCAAGTTGTTTCAAATGAATCAAAAGATCAAATGATTTTTTAAAAAAATCAAATTTACCTTCAAATGACAAAGAGTTGCTGCCACTGAGGATATCAAATTGAATGTGATAGAATCTTTTTCAAAGACAAGTTTCTAATATATTTTGAGCAAGTGCAGCATAACTGAAATACTCACAGCTTCCCCAAATGACCAAAAGAACAGAATGCACATTTAGCATGCTTATTAAATGCATTTCTTTATAATCATCTCATTTTTAATAGTATATTTGATGAATATTAACAGTAATAGATTTGATAATCTTTAGAAGTTCAGGACCAACAGGAAATTCATTCTGATGTTCTGGGGATATGTAGTGGGGTTTCCTACTGGGTACTCTTCTTTCTTTATTTGTATAACTTTCCTAATATGTTGTTGTTAGGTGCCATCAGCCCTGTAGAGGGTTGACTCATAGCCGCCCTGTAGAGGGTTTCCAAGTAGGAGCTGGTGAGTTTGAACCACCTACCTTGCAGTTCAAACCGACCTTGAGGTTAAGTGTTTGTCCTATGGTGCCACACCAGAACTCCTTATATGTGTTGTTATTGTTGTTAGGTGTCTTCTAGTCGGTTCCAACTCATAGCAATCCTGTATAGGGTTTCTGAGGAGTGGATGGTAAGTTTGAACCACTGACCTTGTGATTCAAACTGGTCTAGTGCATTATCCTGCAGAGCCTCACCAGGACTCCTTTAATGTAGTAGTTGTTGTTGTTAAGTGCCATCGAGTCGATTCCCACCCATAGATACCCTGTATAGGGTTTCCAAAGAGTGGCTGGTGAGTTTGAATCACCGACCTTGCAGTTCAAATGACTTTGCCCACAGTGCCATACCAAGACTTCCTTTTATGTTGCTGTTGTTAAAAGTATCGTGGAGTCTGTTCTGACTCATAGTGACCCTGAACAGGGCTTTTGAGGCTGTTCTGAGGCTGTAAATCTGAAAGTCTCATCTTTCTCTAGTGGAACAGCTGGTAGTTTTGAACTGCTGACCTCGAGGTTAGCAGCCCGATTCGTAACCACTATGGTACCAGAGCTCCTTTCCTTTTATGTAGTAGACAGCAAAGATTTATTGAGCCAGTGATAAGTTAAATGAGAGTTTAATTTTTTCTAATTTGTGTCAATAGAATAACAGCTCTGGTATTAACAAACAGGACCTTACTTATAGTCATAGGCTGAGGAAACCTGGGAATTTGAGTTATATGTACCTCACAAGAGCTGTGATGAGTAGACAGGTTTATCATCCTCCCTATTTATGGGTAAGGATATTGAGCCACTGTGACCTTGGATAAAAAGCTAAGTATTGGTGGTGTTGTGCTGTGGAGTCAGTTCCGACTCCTAGTGATACTGCATAGGGTGTCTGAGGCTGTAAATCTTTTACAGGAGCACAGAACCATTGGTAGGTTTGAACTGTTGACCTTGAGGTGAGCAGCCTGACTCATAACGACTATGCTACTAGAGCTCTCTCTCTCTCCTTCCCTCCCTTCCTTTCTCCATATATATATTTGTGAAGTATATAGCAGGTACTCAGTAACCCTTTGTGGAGTGAATGATTGAATCGTACTTGGTGAGTGGTATTTTTAATTGAGTTTACTGAAATGTGTAATCCTGGTGTGGTGCTGCAGGATAGCACACTGGACTGCAAGGTCAGCTGCAAGGTCGGCGGTTCAAGCTCGCCAGTCACTCCTTAGAAACCCTACATAGGGTTGCTATGAGTCGGGACCAACTCGACAGCACTTAACAACCCATATATGTATACACACACACACACATGTGTTGTTAAGTGCTGCCAAGCTGGTTCCAACTCATAGCCACGCTGTATAGGGTGTTTCTGAAGCTATAAATCTTTTGCGGGAGCAGAAAGCCTCCCCTTTCTCCCATGGAACTGCTGGTGGGCTCACACCACCAATCTTTGGTTTGCAGTCCAGTGCTTATCCTACAGAGCCACTGCATCTATCTATCTATCTATCTATCTATCTATCTATCTATCTATCTATCTATCTATCTATTGTTGTTAAGTGCCAGTCAAGTCAGTGCCTACTCATAACTACCCTGTGTATCAGATTTTGGAGAAGCAGCTGGTAGGTTTGAACTGCTGATCTTGTGGTTTAAAGTCCAGTGCTGATCCTATAGCATCACACCAGAAGTCCAAAATTTATGCATGCAACTCTTTCTGCCCGGTTTTGGATCGGGGGACCTTTCATGTGTTAGGCAAACATGATAACCACTACATTATGGAAATAGATATATATACCTATATACATATATTTTAAAATTTATTGTCTATGTACTTGTTTCTGTGTCATTTGGAGAATTGATTTCTCTACCATGTAGGCTATACTGCTATAGGTTCTATATTTTATCTCTTCAAAGGAATATTGACTAAGTCTTGAGTAGTCATTTTTCTTAGGGAGCCCTTCCTTACCTGACTGTGAGGCTGCTGGCGGCAGTTCTTGGTTGCATAGCAATAAGGCTTTCAATGAACTCCTGGCCATGTGTCGCCCTGCAACTCCTTGTGGCCTCAGGGTGCATTCCTAAAACCTCTGGAGAGTCATCCTCAGGTAAGGACTGGATAATGCATATGCAGTCATTTATATGTGCAGATTCTGGTACTGGCTGATGTAGCTGAAAATTTAACCACATTGTCAGTTTTTGCTAGTGAGATACCTACTTACAGAAATGCATGAAGACAATATTTCTCTATGAATACAGGGGGATCTTCTTATTTGTAGGTGATATATTCTAAGCAATTCTGCCAGCATTTGGGATCATGCTATTAAAGTATGGAATCACACACGATAATCACATCTAACTTTTTTTTACTGGGAAAAGGAAAAAAAAATAACAATTTAAAGGCTGGATTGATTCGGACCATCCATTGCTTCAGTGAACTATACTCACAGACAACTGATGCAATTAATCTCAGACAAGTCATTTACTTTGGTAAAACTATAGAAGAAATGTGAGAATGGTCTTAAGAGTATAACTCATCACAAAGAAATGCCGGAAATGGGTGGTAACAACCTTTTTGATATCCTCAAGGAAAACACTGAAGGGCCACAGAGAGATGGTCCAGTTGAAGAGCTAGAGTCACTGGTAGAAACAACAGCTTCTTCTGCAGAAGTAACTAGGATTATGTTGGGGGAAAGGGCTGGAATGTTGGAATCATCATAAAATTGACAGTGTTTAAGGTGTTCTGGTAGCACAGTGGTTACAAGTCAGGCTGCTAACCTCAAGGTCAGCTAGTTTGAAACTACCAGCGGTTCTGTGGGAGAAAGAAGAGACTTTCTGCTCTCGTAAAAATTTACAGCCTCAGAAACCCTATACAGGGTCACTAAGAGTCAGAACCAACTCCACAGAACACTACCACCACCATCAAGGCAACTAAACAATTGAAAGACATGATTCCAGAATACAATCCCTTAGTTTAATTCTGCTAGTGGAATTGCTATATCTTATATCATACCTTATTTACTGTATTTTGGGGCAATTTAAAGGCTTTTCAAGGGTGATTTTTATCTTCAGGGTGGACTTCAGGGTGGAGAATAGAAATGGAAAGGAGGAAAAGTGTGGAGAAGAGAGGGTAGAATGTGTTATGAATTGCATGTGTCCTCTGAATTAAGATATATTGAAACTCTAACCTCTGTCCCTGTGAATACTAAAAACAACAATAACAACAACCAAAAAAACCCTCAGCTTTTCCTGTCTTAGCAAATAATTGATAAAGGATAAAATTTAATTATTTTGCTGACTCAAAGTCGCCAACATAGACTATTACTATCTATTCTATGTTGCTGTTATTATGTGCCATTGTTGGTTCCGACTCATGGCAACCCTATAGAGGGTTTCTGAGTGACTGGTGGGTTTGAATCACTGATCATGTGGTTAGCACTCTTATCCTACAGCGTCACACATAGGATCCTTCTAAACAAATCTCCCTAAACTATGACTTTGATCAGTTTCCTATCTAGTTGTACTCTCAAGGTCTTTCACAAAGCTGAACATGGTTTCTTTTCCCTCAATTGTACAGGCCTACTCCCAATTCATGGAGTATTGGTGTAGCACTGTGAGTTAATGTGCTGGACTGCAAGGTCGGTTTGAATCACAAAGTTGGTTGTTCAAGCTCACCAGCTGCTCCTTGGAAATCCTTTACAGGGTTGCTATGAGTCTGAACTGACACGACAGCACTTAACAACAACACTCCCAAATTATAAAGACTAACCACATGGCATTGTTGCCTTTTCACCTTCGGTTCACCTCTCCCATCAAAATTCTCACCCATGAAAATTTATATGGCAAGTCCCACCTCTACGTTTGAAAGTCAAAGAAAGGTATGCAGAATTTGATTTTCTGCTAGCAACCATCTGATGGGGCATAGGTGCTGGTTCTCACCTGAGGTTTTCTGCTCTACAGAGGTAAAGGGCTGGGTTGAGGATAGAAACTGAGTGGGGGTGGGGAAAGGCTGGGATGGTGATGAGGGGAAGAGGGAATCGAATGTGCTATATGTTGTATTATATCTGCTCAGTTAAATAGGTTGAAGCTCTAAGCCCTATCCCTGTGAATGTGACTCTGTTTGGAAATATGAGTGCGTTTAAAAAAGCTTGTGTAAAAATTCTACTATCTCTTTTATTTTTGACTTTGCAATAAAACCCCCCCACATATTTTTATTGCAAATTGGGTGAAGGTTTACAGAGCAGATCATTTTTTCCATTCCACAATTCATACACATTTTGTTTCATCTCATTGATTGCAATCCCCACAATGTAACATCTCTTATTCCACTTCCTCCCTTTGTTTCCTGATTCCATTTCTTCTCCTTTCCTAACCCTTATGAACTTTGTCCTTAAGGAGCTCTGGTAGCGTAGTGGTTACGAATCGGGCTGCGAACCTTAAGGTCAGCGGTTCGAAACTACCAGCCGCTCCGCGGGAGAAAGATGAGGCTTTCTACTCCTGTAAAGATTTACACCCTCGGAAACCCTGTACAGGGTCGCTATGGGTCGGAACTGACTCGATGGCACTTAACACAACAACATGAACTTTGTCCTTAGGCAAATGCTGCCCTGTGGATGTCAAGTGGTTGATGATTCTAAGATGTGTGTACCTTCCCAGGGTTATTGTTTGGGGGTGATTCATTTCCAGACCTGAAGGGTGACTAAGGGTCATTGTCTCAGGGGTTCTACCTGTCTCTAGCTGACTAGTAAGCCTGGTGTCTTCAATATTTTAAAAAGTTTTTTATTCTGAATTGAGTGAAGGTTTACAGATAAGATCATCAGTTTTACATTCAACAAATCATACACTTTGTTTCATCTCAATGACTGTAATCTCTTCTATGTAATAACAGTTATCCCACTTTCTCCCTGTGGTTCCCATTTCCATTCCACCCTTTTCAACTTTGTCCTTAGGGAAATGTTGTCCATGTGATCTTGAATGATTTGATCTTGAATCTTACTAGCACTGTTGTCCCCCCCATATATTTATTTACTGCTTGACTGAAAACTGAGCCTGAAGGGTGGTGAAGGGCTATAGTCTCAGGTTTTTCCAGTCTCTTTCTGACCAGTAAGCTTGGCCTTTTTTTTTTTTTTTTTAAATGATTTGTTTTTGTTCCATAAAAAAGTCCATTATCATCTAATTCCATTTTACCATGAACTTTCTGAAGCCCCCTCACAAAAGGGCAATATTTTCTAAGGATAAAGTTGAAAAGGGTGGGCTGGAAATAGGAACCACGGTGAAGAAGTGGGGTAACTGTTGTTGCATAGAGGAGATTGCAATCATTGAGATGAAAAAAAGTGTATGTGCCTGACCCCTGTGAGCCTCAGTTTCATCTAGTGAAAAGTAAGAATAATATCTACTTCACATGGTGGTTATGAGCATTAAGTGAGAAACATACAAATTGACTAGCATGGGAGAGTTGATTAATAAATGTTAATTTGCTTCTGTTTTCTTGTGCTTGTATTTTATGCTATAGGTTCTGGAGGATGTGAACCATTTCTTTATCAATCTTTTTATTTTCTGCCTGACATAATGGTGTATTTAATAGAGTGCTGGGTAAGTTACTTTCATAATAATGACATTTAATAAAAGAAAATACATAATAATTATTATATAATTAAATAATAATAAATAAAAGAAACATGAAATCATTTCAATATAGATTTTAAACAATACAACAATATTTTGTTTAAAGTAATATGCATATAGTAATTTAAGAAAATAAATTATTTTCTTACCTCATCACTAGAGAAACTGAAGTCATCTTTTAGCACCTCAGGATTGCAAAATTTGTACAGAAGGGTCTTTAAACATTGCTTGTCACAGTTATCAGTCACCCGGCCTCCATAAATCACTTCACCAATCAGGTAGCGCAGCCCCCGCCATGGAATAGTGGAATGTCCACTCAGGACATTTCCCAACATCTTTATGGTAACCTTGAGAAAATCCACTAGTCTTTATTATTTTAGTACATGTTTTTAGCTTACACTGACATTTAAACATAAAACCAACAATTCTTAAACAGCTACATATATTTTCTCTTCACAAATATATGTAAATATTAAGAGGATTACAAATATTAGGATGATCATTTTTTTATCCATTAATTCTTTTGTTGCTGTTATTCAACAATTTTCTTCTTATTTTTTTTAACAGACAAAATAAGACAGTAGTGAATTCAAAGGTTGTTATTAAGTGCTGTTGAGCCAGTTCCAACCCATAGCGACCCTGTATAGGGTTTCCGAGGAGCAGCTGATGAGCTTGAACTGCTGACCTTGCAGTTCAAGTGGCTTTGCAGTCTGGCGCATTAACCCACAGCGCCACACCAGGATTCTGAATTCAAAGGTAGGAAAGGATAAACAAGGAAAGGGAAGGTTTCTCCCACCGTCTGCTCAAGTTACCAGACTCCCTTTCTTGAGTATCTTTACATAGATATTTGACAGAAAGATGTCCACATGCATTGATATGCTTCTTTCTCTCTCTGCCTTTCCTTGTTCATTCTCTATCTTCCAACTCTCAAATCGCTCCCTCCTTTCCTTTACCCCATTTTTCTTTCTTGACTATCATTGTTCAATACATCTGTCAGCTTATTGTATCTTGCTATGATGCTGCAAGCTATGCGACCAGTATTTCAACTATCACTATAGTTATACATGGTGGAGCAGTTTCAGTGGAAGTTCCAGAAAAAGACAGACTAGGAAGAAATTCCTGATGATCTGATTGTGAAAATTAGTCAATAAAATCTTATGGACGACAACAGAACTTTACTCAATAGGGTGCCACAAAATGAGACCTTGAAATTAGAAAGCACTGAAAAAAGAAAAGAAAAACGCTGTCTCCTCAAAGTAGAGTTGACTGTAAGGATGCTGATGGAGTAAAGGCTTTGAGAACCTTCATTTGATGATGTGGCATGACTCAAAATGAGCAGCATTCATTAATAATCAGAGCATGAAATGCACAAAATATGAATTAAAGAAAATTGTAAGTTGTCTGAAATAAAATGGGATGTGTGAAGATTGATAGTCTAGTTATTAGTGAGCTGAGATGGGCTGGTATTGGCTAGTTTGAATCTGACAAGTCTGCTTGATAGGAACAGCAAATTGAAGAGGAACAGTGGAACAGTGTCATATTCATCATCAAAACAATATTTCAAGATCTGTCCTGAAGTACAGTGTTGTCAGTGATAGGCTCATATCCATATGCTTGCAAGGAGGACCAATTAGTATAACTATTATTCAAATTTATACACCAGCCATGAATGCCAAAGATGAAGAAATGGAAGATGTTTATGCACTGCGATAGTTTGACATTGAGCAAATGTGCAATCAAGATACATCAATAACTATTGGAGATTGGAAAGAAAAAGTTAGAAACAAAGAATGAACCATAGTTGGAAGGGAAGCGCAGGAACATGGGCTAGAACACCAGAGACTCAGTTGACCAGATAGGAGGGATCGTCATTGTCGTGATGTGCTCTTGAGTCGGTTCCGACTCATAGAGACCCTGTACAGGGTTTCCAAGGCTGTAAATCTTTACAGGAGTAGAAAGCTTCATCTTTCTCCTGTGGAATTACTGGTAGTTTTAAAATGCTGACCTTAAGGTTTGCAGCCCGATTCATAACCACTATACTACCAGAGCTCCTTAGAGAGGAGGGAGGGAGCCAGTAAATAGGGGTAGAACCTTTCAGCAGCAGTTGTCCTTGGTCCTTTGAATGGTAGACTTACACAATGGGTAAGACCTGTGGGGTGGTAGCTGCAGTCTCTGGACTCTGGGTGCCCTGCCCTTGAATTGAGTAAATGCAGGAATGAGATAACTATTGCATTTGCACAGGAGTGTACCAAAGTCCACACCACTAATTAGTGAGCAGAGGTACAGGCCCCTGTCCCACCCACCCACTCTCTCTTCCGACTAGGTGCCACCTAGTCCACTCTCTCATGCTCCCCGGTACCCCCGTCGCTCTGATGACAAAATTAACTCAGCACAAAAAATACCCAGAACAAAGAAACCTCCAACATCACACATTCGGAAATAAAAACAAAACAAAACTAAAAACCTCCATACAAACAACAAAATGACAGCAGTAAACTCAGACTTATCGATAATTACGCTGAGTGTAAATTACATTTTTACACTAAGTGTAAATGAATTAAATGAGTCAAGAGACAAAGTGACAGAATGGATAACAGAGCAGGACTCATCATTATGCTGCTTACAAGAGACTTACTTTAGACATAAAGAAAAAGTTAAAGAATGGAAAAAATACACCAAACAAAAGACAACTGAAAAAAAAACAAGCATGACAATATTGATTTCTGATAAAATAGACTTCAAGACAAGAATCAGCATGAGGGAAAAAGAAGGACATTATCTCGTGATTAAAGGGTCAATTCAGCAAGAGGACATAACCTTAATAAATATCTACACATCCAAAGAAAGAGCCCAAAGTACATAAATTAAGATAACAGATCTGGAAAGAAAAGTAGATGTCTCCACAATACTAGTAGACTTCAACAAACCACTGTCTTTTTTTTTTCAGATTTTAAAAAACTTTAACAATTTATTAGCCTTATTTTCCAGTAAAATATTCACATAATATCAAAAGGATGGAATGGTAAGAGATGGCACAGGCTATCTTGAATTCCACATAAATATTTAAAATCTAAAAATCTCTGAGAGCTTCAGTTTAGAGACCAAGCAGAAATCAGATCCTTTCAAGAAAGTATTGCTTTACTCTTGCCATTAATGCAGTTACCAAAGAGGATGCTTAGCTGGCAATGGTAAACCAAAGGTTGGCTAAGCTAGAGGTCTTTCCAGGGACCGGTATCTCAGTCAATCCAAGGAAAATATATTATTGAACTGTGTTGCACAAAGCTTCTTGACATCTTCATTGACTTCAATCAGGTTTGCATTTTTTTGGTTCAAAATAACATATAGCTCCCTCTGATCAGACTTATTCCCAACAACCCAATAATCACTCATTACTTTCACTATGATTTCTTCATCCTTACCCACTCTAGGGAAATTACTGTTGATGTCACCTAGAATCTTCATGAGATCCAGATGAATGGACGTAAGTGGCACACTGGGTGTTTTCCTCATGTGAGTTGTACTTTTCTCAGCTAAATTCATGTGGTTGAAATAGATACATTTGAACTGGGCTTCTTTTTCAGACCCAGACATCCTTTTGTTGATGTTAAACTGCTCACAAATGTCGGATGCCAGCTCTTTGAGCTGAGGCCCAATAATGCTGTCCAGTCTCCAGCAAAAATCCGAGGTAGGTTGTGTGGAGGCGTCCATCATGAAGTACATAGCTGCGCTCATGGACTTACACACAATTAAATGGAGCTCTTCATAGGTGTCATCTGTATTGATAAAAATTTTAGAGAATCTGCATTTTGCTTTGGGATCATTAAGGTTCAGGGGTCCAGTATAAAATCTACCATGGTGTTGAAGATTTCTTGGCATTTCTGCCTTCCCTGGAGAATCCCTCCCAGCCAACTCAGGTTCAGTGTGCCTTGGGAAGAGAGATGTGGTGAGGTGTTTGTATAAAATCCTCATGTCATCTTGCTCTAATCCACTCCAGATGAGCTGATCATTGTAGAGAAAGGCAGTATACTTCACTATGTTCAAGCTCTTCTCCATTCTATTAAGAAGACTAGATTTTTAAACAAATCGTTTTATCCAATGGGAAGAAACGAATCCACCAAAAATATCCAGTAGGTCACATGACTGGAAATGCAGTGTTTGCAGATAGCAGTGGAAGAAGTTATCTAATCTTTCCTTTAGGAGCTTGGCACTGCCGTCTGCCATGGCTTTCAGAATGTGCCATTGAAGAGCTTGTGCATATTGTGGCATGGCTGTAGCATGAAACTATAAACCTTGTCCAGCAACTCTTCTTCTTGGTGTTCAACAATTGGTTTCCCATCTTTGCTTTGCTCTTCAATTATAGGATTTGGAACAACCATGACCATCCAGAAATTTTCTTCTGGTTCATTGAAGAACTGTCTATTCCTCTGTATACATAAAAATTTTGCAGGTTTTGAAGGACTAAAGGTCCTTGTAAATTGTCCAATAGCTTCGCATAATCCAACATTTCAAATTTTTCATTCTCTTCAACTTCATTTGAATGATAAAACAAAATGTTATTTTCCTACTCACCTTTGCACGGGCTGAAGCGTGGGTTGTAGATGAAGACGCTGAACAGTGCTGATGGGAATTGTTTCTTCTGGGTCAACAAGGCCCCGGCCCTGCCGCAGAGGCAGCCATCCCCCTCACCTACCCTAAATCCTACTCAAAAGAATTCTACGTCTTATTAAAAAATAATAAAGCATGATCAATTGGGATTCATAATGATATGTAAGGATGGTTCAACATTAGAAAAACAGAATACATTATATAAATAAAACAAAGGAAAAGAAGCACATGATCATCTCAATCAATGAAGAAAAGGCATTTGATACAATCCAACATCGACTCCTGATAAAAACTCTGAGCAAAATAGGAATAGAAGGGAAATTTCTCAATGTAATTAAGGGTATATACACAAATGAATGGACAGCATTGTTCTCAATGGAGAGAGCCTGAAAGCATTTACCTTGTGAATGGGAACCAGACAAGGATGCCTTTTGTTACCATTCTTATTCAACATTGCATTGGAAGTCCTAGCCAGAGGAATAAGGTAAGAAAGGGAAATTAAAGACATATAGATTGGTAAGGAAGAAGCAAAACTATTTCTGTTTGCAGATGATATGATCCTACAAATAGAAAAACCCAGAGACTCAACAAGAAAGTTACTGAAACTTAAAGAAGGAAGGATTAAGCAAAGTGGCAGGGTACAAGATCAACATATAAAAATCAGTCAGCTTTCTCTACACTAACAAAAGAAATTGTGAAAAGGGAATCAGGAAAATACCATTTGTAATAGTTATCCAAAAGA